TTATGAGTTGTTAGAGAGTTTTTTGTCTTCTTTTGGATTCCAGGTGTCCTAGACCTTAGAGAACAGCTAACGTTGTTTTATCTTTGGCCTACAATTTTTTTCAGGGGGGCAGGGAGAGTTTAGAGGGAGAACTTTGAGAAGTGGTAAGAATCAGAGAAAATGTTTCAGTTCCTCATCTTGCTCACATGACCAGTGATATCTTAAAAGCCAAGTATGATAGCTTTTTTTCTTAGTTTTCATCCATCTTGACCTCTGTGCTACATTTTGGTAGTTGACCACCATCTTCTCCTGGACACTCTGTGGGTTTCTGTGACACTGTTCTCTCCTGATTCTCCTCCTGCCTGACTTTTTTCAGTTTCCTTTGCTGACTTCTTATCCATGTTACTGGAGGTATTCCTGACTGTGCCCTTCTCTCTTCTCACTCTCCACTGTTTCCCTTGATGTCCTCATCAGATCCAATGGGTTTAATTATTTCTGTGCAGATGACTCACTGATCTATATGCATTATCATCAAAGTCCTAGTTCAGTTTCAAACTTTTGTAGACTTTTCTGACACCCAATATATCCAGGCCCAGTGTCTCACTTCACATGCCATCCCACATCACCAACTACCTATCAAACTTCCAAACTTGATGGCCTGGCAACAGTTCAAACCTTGTCTAAAAAAGAACTTTTTATCTTTGTCCCCAAACCTACTTCTCTTCCAAACTTTTTTGTTGACAGCATCACCATATCTTCAGTGTCTTAAGATTCATAACCTCGACATCATCCTGGACTCCTCACTCTCCCTCAACATAGCTGCCAGTTCTTGCTGTTTCTATGTCTACAACACCTATCACATCCAATTTCTTTTCACAGAGCCACCACTTTAATTCAAGCCTTCATCTCCTCTTGCCAAGATTATTGCAATAGCCTCCTAATTGTTCTCCATACCTCAAGACTGTAGCCACGTCAAGTCTATCCATATAGCTGCTAAAGTGATTGTTCTTAAGTACAGCTCTGATTATGTCACCCCAGTGGCTTCTTATTTCCTTGGGGATCCAATATTGGTTTTCTGTTTAGCTTTTATAGCCTTTAGCTACTTATTACCAACTTAACTTTCTCGTTCATTATACATAGCTCTGTGAACAAAACAAGTCTTCTCATTTCTGTGCCTTTGCATGTGGCTGCCCCTCACACCTGGAAGGCCCTCCCTTTTGACCTCTCTTCTAAGACGTGGCTCAAATACCACCTTCAAGATGAAGATTTCCCTGATGCTAATGATTTTTATTGTCCTCCTCTCTCTATTTTGTATTTATTACCCTTATGGACATTTCATTTACACATGTATTTATACTTGTCTTTCCATTAGAATATAAGCCTCTTAAGAATGGAGTTTCATTTTTTGTATCCCCAGATAAATATGTGTTGATTGATTGTACAGAACGAATGAAAAATTTATGAAGCACTTTTTAAGTGCTTCACACTTGAAGCTTTACATACCTAAAAGCTGTTATTAATACAATTAATATTCATGAGTTTGAATTTAAATTAAATATATATTTCAATTTTGTTATATTTCACTACATATTTTTAACTTCTTGATTTTATTGCCATTTCCTTTCCTACTTTATCGAATGCCAATTATAAGCTTACCTTTCAGTGTCCCAGTAAAAGACTATAAGTTAGAGATGAGATGCCTGTCTGCATGAGAAGGGAAGTTTCCATAACAATCAAATCAGAAATCCAGACTGGTAAAAAAAAGAAAACTAAAAGCATTGTCATGTATAATCAGAGACTTCTTATATGAGAAAATTCTCCAAGTTTGAGTTAGGCATTTTGGAAATCCGAATGATTATTTTAAAAGAAGCTACATATTGTAAATAAGTGTCTTATTACATGATAGCATCCCTTATCATTATTAATATCCCTTTATCAAGAATATAAAACAGGGAATTGCTTTTACTCTAGAAGAATTGGACCCTTCATATTTGTGAATAGGAGACTGGAAAGGATTTACATTCAATAATCACATTTTAAAACAACAAACTAGAACCATCTTTAACATACAATAAATTAGAGAAATTTCCCCTGATCTGCCATAGACATCAAATGCTACAGGAGAAGGAATAAGAAGGTATTAGAATTTGAGGCCAAAGAAAACCAGTCCTTTCAAATATATATCATAATAACCAATAGGTAAGATGCCTCACCTCCCCATTATCAATTTCAGGCAGGGCTGCCTAGCATTTACATACCTTCTATCTACCAATCCTTTCCTCCTTGTTTCTTCTGCTATTCAAGGCTTTCCTAGTGATCATAAAAAGATTATCCTTATACTGTATAAAATTTCAAAAGAGAAATAGATCCATACAGTATTATTTATCCAATCATTCCAAAGCCTTATGGAAATAAGATAGTAGATATAACTGTGTTTCTTATAAGAACACAAAAGACCAAGGGCACTGACAAAAATCTGACAAAATATCTAACCCCCTCTCTCTTAAAGGATCTGTGGATCAGAATATTAGTTTCTTTGTTACAAAGGAGGGTTCAATGGGGGGGATGTTTCAGGGAATTACTGGACAGTGATATTAAGAAATGGCAAACATTTATAATTATTTTTTTTAAATTAGTTTCACCTAATAGCCCGTAGCTTCTCTTTGGTATACATTTCTGTGAGTATGTATTATGTATTATTCCATGACACATATCATATTACTTTCATTAATAATTCAATATTTTGATAATATTCAATATTATTCAATTTCAGTAATTTCAATAAACATAACTTTTAAAATATTACTCCAATAACACTATTCTTTTTCTCATTTTTCTGAATTTATTTGATTCATACTGCTTACTTGCACTTCTCATTTTTATTCTAATAGACCATATTTTTCTATTTCTTTTCCTTCCATTGGTTCCTTCCTATTTAGACTTTGGAAGCCAAAATGCAAAGAGGAGAAATAGATTATTATTCATAGGCAGCATCTGTTCAATTCAGTTTGTAAGCATAATGTATTTTTTTAAAATAGAACAAGCAGGACAGACCTCAAAAAGCTAAGTAAGCAACTTCTATTAGCAGAAAAAGAATGAAAACAATCTACATGGAGCTTATCAAAAACCATTGATAAACACATTTACATCTGGGCCAATAGCACCTCAGACAAACTCACTTCCTACTGCAGTTTGCAATTATCTAGAAATATTGCTAGACTATTAATTAGATTTCATATAAATTGTCCTATAAGCATATTTCAAAGAAATCAAGATAAGCAACATTATTGTTATCTTGAACTAATTACATCAATATAGTTTTAAAACATGCAGCTTGACATTGGTCTAAAAGGATATAAGCTTATAAGATTGCTGAGGCTCTTGTATTGAATAAAAATCTCTCCATTTACACATTTCATCTACGTGAAAATATGCACATTCTAACTGTACAAGAAGACTCACCAAGATATATACTTCAAAAATGTCTGGTGGGCTAGAAAATTCAACCAATACATTTGGGCAACAGTCACATTCCCCTTTTCTCTGTCCTAGGACCTTGTCCATAAAATGTTCTGTGATAATTGCTAAAGAAACAAACAGTGGAGCTACTTTTACTATAATCAGATATTAGAGAAGAGATATCCAGAGAATCAGATGTTGTTATATGACCATGAGGGTATAATATTGGAGGAATAGAGTCAATTATAACCTTAGGCTTAAACTTATAAAAAGTATTTGAATGATTTAGAGAAAATTTTTTATTTTGTTTTGAAGAGCTGATTGATGATATTATTTCAGAATTCATAAAAGCCCTCTAAAGTGATTAAAGCTACTTGTATAATTTGATGGATCCATGATGAGGGTGGGTGCTAAGTGCCATTTTTTCATGGCTTCTCATTCTATGTGATTTTTATCTGTGGTTGTCCCATTAATCTTCCCTCACTGATAGAAGTCTTGTGTTTGGAGTCTTCCTTTTATCCTTTAAATGTCCTGGATAAGTCACTGTACCATGCAGGCTGTCCATCATTTGTCTCAAACTCACTAGTTGATGCAGTAGTTACTATGGTCTTTTAAAAGAACTTGCCGCAAATACCTGCTCTTGATTTTCCTGAACATCTAGTTCTTTGGCATCTTTGTCTTAAATAGCAATTATGTTAAAATTCAACAGTGAGAAAATTGTAAAAAAAAATCATAATAAAAAAAAATTCAACCCTGTCTTCAAATTGTTGAATATTGTTGATTTTTTGCATAGTTAAGGCACATTGATAGAGACATGTATATGTGTGTCTATGGAATGCATACACATAGCCATATTTCTCTTCTACATATCTCTTCCTGGCATAGGGAGTTCATAGGGATGGAGTGGGAGCACGCTGGAATTGGAGTTATAAGCCCTGAGTTCTGATTCTATCTTGGCTACATAGTAACTGTGTGATGTGTGTCAAGTCACTTTACTTGTTTGCATTTTCTTCATCTGTGAAGAGTGAGTTGAACTAAAAGTTCCAAGGTTCTTTATAACAGTACATTTTATATTTTATTACTTCTGCCTTCAGTCATGTGAAACTCTCAGTATACTACTGAGTCACATAAAAGAAGCTGAGGAAAAACACGAATCCTTATTGCTTATAAAAATTGAGTTTTCCAGGAGACTGGCTGATTATTTTGAAAGTTCCAGATAATTTGTTATGCCTTCCCAAGAAAAGGTGAGCAGTATTTGAGGAAAAGGAAGAATTCCTTCTGAATTAAATTGTATGGTGCTAAATAAAAGCAGGAAGAATTAAACAAGAGGAAAATATAGCAAATAGAATAATTTTGCTTTTCTGATCCAAATGACCTAACATATTACATGATCCCTTCTATTTTTTGGCCTTGTTTGTGCTACAGATCCATTTACAGACTTAGCAGTGAGTTTCAGAGTATCAGGACAATCCTGCAGGGGTAAGGGCCAAGTGGAGATTGGGTTCAAAAATTACACACTTGGAAAAGAGCAAAAAAAAAAAAACCCAGCAAGGACTAACAAATAAATACACAAAGTACACAAGTGTGTTTATTACATTTCGCAAGCACTTTGTTCTACATTTCAAAAACGCCACCATCAAGCTGTTGGCACATTTATGTACAAAACAGATTAATTGTAATGCCTGCTACAAAGCATTCTTTGTGAAAATACAAACTAATACCAGAGAAAAGCCAAAAGCATCAACATCATTACATGAGTTTAAAAGACAGTTTTAAAAATTATCACAAACTGTTTAAGACACAGAACTGAAACACTACAACAGAGAATCAGAAGGAGGTTCATAATACTTCTTTTTGCTGTTGAAGAACTGTAATACTGCACATATCAGAAAACTGTTGATCCGGTAAGATAGCCTAAGTGTAAAAAAAAAAAATCACCCCAAACCCAAATCCAAAACCAACCCCAAATCAATCATCTAATACTACGAAATGCAGGACCATGCCACAGATAACTAGAGTAATACCCCCCACCCCCACCTACTACGAGATTTTAAAGTTCACTGGTGATACATGGTTAGTTATTGTACAAAGATGTTTAGTCATGAACCTTTATTAGAAATGCACTTATACTGAGAGAGAATTTCACAATGGTTCAAGAAGTGCACAAAACTATCTAGGATTTTTTGACACTGACAAAAATGTCTTGCCAGGCTACATCAATTTAAAAGACACTTTACAGCATTCTTGTAGCATTAGAAAGAGGCAAAATAAAAACGAAAACGAACACCAAATTTGGTCCAGTAATACTGAGTGCTTATTTTTCTTTTTTCCAATCTTGATGACAGGTACTTCTTTGAAATGAATATGACTGACCTTTCAGTTGAAATTGGTTTACTTGAACTAAAACTCCAATTCTAGTATATGTTTCCAAACAGTAAGTTCCATAGCGGCTTCTGACCTCACTTTAAGCATACTACAGGTAAATTGATAGATTTCAGAAAACTGCAAGCAAAGCTATTACGTTTATGGAAGCCTTTACAATATTTCATACACAGTTTTAAGTAACGTTCACGGAGGTGCAATCCATTAAAATTTTTAAAGCAGGTAAAAATACTTCTGAGGGGTAAAAGTGCTGTATATTTCTGATATATTATTTTTATAATTGTAGTTATGTAGTAATGTAGTAAATCCTAACATTAACACATTAATCACACTTCATTCAGCCTAGCCATCGGTCAGATCACAAAAATTATTTAATTTGGCAGCAAGCTATTTCCATTAACAATTGTCTATATACTCTATCTTTAAAAGGTAATCATGGTGTCACATCCTTGAAAAAGGCAAGTAGCCATGCATTAGCATCACTGTCTACATGCTCACAACAGAAACAAGAAAAATCACCAATAAAACTTTGAGAGAAATACCCTTTAAATACATCAAGAATAATACAATGTTAACAAAGATAAGAAGCACTTTTTTTACCTACTGTTATAAATTTAGAAATTGCACCTTTAGTTGTTGAAAACATTACCGAGGGCCTGCAGTCAAGATGGTGATTGGTCCATCTGGCAAGAGCTTCAGATTTCAAGGAAAGTCATCATTGTGTCATCTCTGTAATATTGTACGTATTGTACAACAATGGTCCCTTTGAAGTATACCTGTAGTTACTGAAATCAAAACTAAAAAGTATAAAAAAGCTATTTTTTTTTCTTTTCAAAAACATAGGAAACAATGCAAAAGGTGTTATGCATAACACATACAAAATGATTTAAAAAATCAAACAAATCTTCATATTTGACAATATTAGTATATTTGATCTGACAGAACTAATTAGTTGGAGAGGATTCAGGAAAGGCTAGATAGGAGCTTTGTAGGAGAGAATACAATCACACAAAATTAACTAATTAGGAAAAGAAGTGCTTAACAAGAAAGACTCGGATGATTCACCAGTCACCCCACCTATCTTATTTTTGAGAAGCACTTTTGTTTTGCTTAGAAATGGTTTGGATGGCCTTTAGTTAAACAAGAAAGCATTCAAACGTTAGAAAGGAGGGAGATGGTGGTTTTCTTATGTGTAGGCATTGAGTCGTTCTTTAGAACGGGTAGAGTGAATATCATGGAGCTCTTGCTCCTCCTTTGATTTGATGTCCTCATACTTTTGCATTCGGCAGGCATCTTTCACATAGGCCCAATTGGCAGACAGAACCATAAGGTAGTGAACCTATTAAGGAAAAAAGTTGTGTGTTACCAAAAAATGAAAAAAACAAAATGTCCAAAATATTGGCTAAAAGAAAATCCAGGCAGGTAATCATGACACAGTTTAAAGAGCCCTGATGCTGGATTCAGAGGACCTGACCAAATTCTAATTTTCAGGCCCATTGCCTTTATGAATTTAGACAATTCACTTAACTTCTATGGGCCTCAGTTTCCTCATCTACATAATGATGGAGCTATATCTCTTCTCTTTAATTCTGCCTCTGGAATTTACTGCCTATGTGTTACTTAGGACAGATCACAGAAATCAGTTTCCTTATCTCTGAAAAGCAGATTTCACTAGGAGTACCATTTGGAGCTGAAAAAACAACCCAAGTTTCTAGTATGAGCAATGCAATCGATGCCTACTTATTGTTACCCTAACTCTCACTAGGTAATATGTAAATTAGCATAGCTTCAAAGACACAGGGTCTGAAAGGCACGGCAACTCTGAAATGGAAAATATGATCCTAAAACCAGTAGTGCTTTTCAACAGATGACATGAGGATGTTCATTGCTACCAGATGTACTGCCATTGGGAAATGTGGTTAGAACTAATGAATATTTTTTTTGAACAGTTTGGTGTGCTTGTTGGTTTTAACTACTCTGAAGTATAAATGGGAAAGAGAAAAGTGATTTTAAATAAAAAAAATCTACACTACTTTCCATAAAGTGGAGATGACAATTTTTATCCTGGAAAAGGGAAAGAGTAAAAATTACTTTATGCTATTGAAAAGGTAAGCTAGCTAATATTTAAATAATACAAATTTTAATAGGATAAGATATTAAACCAAGGCAAAAGATGAAAACCACTCACTTCACTTTTTGTTTATTGATTTTTCTTACCCACACTTGTGACATTTGCATTGAAATTATTCAAGAAACTGACAGACTTTGAGTGGCACTGATCTGATGAAGGGTTATCTTATAGATTCTTAAGAATGCCAAGAGTCAGGAAGACTCATCTTCCTGAGTTCAAATCTGGCCTGCAGAGGATAGAGTGCGAGGCCTGGAGTCAGGAAGACCTGAGTTTAAATCTAGATTTAGATACTTACTGGTTGTGTGACCCTGGGCAAGTCACTTAGCCTTAGTTTCCTCACCTATAAAATGAACTGGAGAAGGAAATGATAAATCACTCCAGCATTTTTGCCAAGAAAAGCCCAAAAGGAGGTCACAAAGAGTCAGACACAACTGAAACTACCAAATAATATTGTATGATTTTTCTGAAGTGACTTAGTGTTAGAATTTTCTAATTTTAGCAGTGACTAGAAGTAGGTTATAAACCTTGTACGCATTTTTATGTTCTTCGTTGTGGAACATCCCTTTGTTTACTGGCATGATGCAGATACAATGCAAGTTCTTAAGTCTTACTAGGGTGCTTTCCTTCCATATTCTTTTCATTCTCTGCTTTCCCAACTTAATTAGGATGCAGTTTCTAAACATCTTAAATTATTTTAAAGTATTCACCTGGTTTCTCATTCCCATTTTTTTAGCTCTGCCTTCTCTTTAACAAATCTACTTAAGCCACTTTAAAAGAAGGCTTTCTCTTGCCGATTTGTGTGCATGCCCCTACTACACAGAATACTGAACAGAAGAACATGCACACGCATGTGACCTTGCATGCTCTGCAGTCATTGTTATATGTATTTTCTAAAGTAGCAGAAAGCTACCACATTGCTATAAATTCATTTTCTTTTCAAGAGCTTGATGAAGTAGAAAAAAAATGTAGGTTTGATACAGACTAAACTTTTCCACTTTGCATCTGCTGCTCCAGGGAATAAGATGCCCTTCTCAGGATAAATTCATCACTTAACTCGACCTCCTTCAGTCTCCTCTCCCCTGTGATTGGAGAGCTGGAAGGTGGATTACCAAACTCCTCCCAATACTTTCCTTTATAGAGGGCAGAAACTGGACTCCTCACTTTGCAGTTGTTGCTCTGTCCCCTGGTACCTCCCACCCCCACCCCACCCCATAGCCTTCCCCTTGCTTTTGTGTATTGTCTCCTTTCATTAGACCATAAGCTTCTTGAGGGTAAGAACTATTTATCTTTTTATGAATTGTAACCCCAGTGCTTAGCACAGTGCCTGGCACATAGTATGCACTTAATAAATGTTTATTGGATTAGACTGGATTAGAAAAGAGAAACTGTGTGGGGAGAAACAGATCTAGAAAACTCAAGAAACCTAGATTATATCTTGATCCTGCCAATGAGAGACACAGTACTTGAACATCGAACTTTCTTTCTTTTCTCTCCCTTACATTCTTAAACAGCTTCCAAATTCTCATCTCATCCCTTTCACCACCATACTCTTAGGAAGTGCTGAAATTTGTCACCTTAACCTCCACACCCACTCACTTTTCAACTGCTTTTAATCTAATACTACTGCTCTCTCATTATGATTATTCACCAAATGTCTTTTTTCTCAACTTTGATCCTTCTTGATTTCTTTACAATCTAAGATGCTTGGCCACCCATTACTTCTATGTACTTCCTTCTCCACTGGTTTAATGGTCTTTCATGGCTCTACTACCACCTAGTTGAACTTGCACTTACAGTTGATCTGTTGGCTTCTCATTCATCTCTTGGCCTCTAAGTGTGGCTCCCCTGGGGCCCACTTTTCTCCATCTCAACTGCTTCCATGGAGTCTATTATCATCTTTCTGGCAATGATTCCTCAATTTTTGTATCTAGCCCTAAACTAACTTCCAAGTTCCAGTCCTGCCCAAATATCAATTGGAAGATAACTTTACTTGGATGTCCCAGGCATATCTCAAAAGCTACATTTTGAAAAAAATGGGGGCAGCTAGGTGGCACAGTGGATAAAGCACTGGCCCTGGAGTCAGGAGGACCTGAGTTCAAATCCAGCCTCAGACATATAACACTCCCTAGCTGTGTGACTCTGGGCAAGTCACTTAACCCTAATTACCTCATCTTCCCCCCAAAAAAAGGAAAGCTGAAAAAAATGAACTCATCCTCACTCTCTCCAGATCCTATAGCCACAGAAATATACTGCTTCTCTAGCCTATTTTGTTTCATTTGAGGGTACCACTATATGGCCACAACCTCATTTCAGGTACTCATCTTCCCTTTCATGGATTCTTGTAATAGCCTTTGAATTTATCTCCCTGTTTCTATTTTCTCCCTTACCCATTTCATCTTTCACACACCTGACCAAGTAATCTTTCTAAGGTGCAGAAAAATCTGACCATGTCACTCCTGCACTTAAAAATCTTAAGTGGCTTCTTATTATCAACAGGATAACATACAAAGTCTTGTCTTGGCAGTTAAGGTCTTCCACAATCTAGCTTAGAAACTTATCTTCTTTTAAGTTTAGAGGCCATTTCTTCTATGAAGCCTTCCCGAATCCTCCCAATTTTTAATGCTCCCTCTCTTCTAAGATTACCCTGTACTTATTTCCCTGTTCACATGTTATAGTCTACAAATAGAATATGATTTCTTTAAGAATAATTATTATGCCATTTTTGTCTTTGTCTCAATGCCTAGCAAAGTATTTTGCAGTGGCATGGCTTTGCAGAAATGAATTATTTCTACTAGAAGTCATAATGCAACTATTATATAAAACTACTTACAGATTTTGTGAGATTTTTTCAATTAAAAAAAAAAGGCTTACAAAGGATGGTTTCAGAGGAATCTTGGAAAGATTTGATTTAACTAGTGCAGAAGACCAAGAGAACCATTTACACAATAACAACAACACTGTAAAACAAGCCACTTTGAATGACTTTGGAACTTGATATAGTGACCAGACATGATTCAATATACTACCCACCCCATGACAGAGAGGTAATGGACTCAATACAGATTGAGATATATGTATTTTTGGACAAAGTCATGTGATAAACTTGTTTTTCTTGACTGCCTATTTTTTGCAAGGCTTTTGTTTTGTTTTGTTTTGTTTACATTTTTCATTTGAGTGAAGAAGAGGTGGAAGGGAAAGAAGGTGGATACTTGTTAACTAAAAAATATTAATTAAAAAACTTACACTTCATTGCTTATCCTGAAAATGTCTCTTTCCATGAAGAATCGTATTTCAGTAAGTATGCATTTCAATTTTAGTCTAGATACTGACAATTTTGGGAGTTGTCATCATTACAAAAAAAAAAAAAAGGATTTCTCTGGCCTTCATTCACCAAAGGAAAATGACCATATTTATGAATAAACTGAATTAGGAACTGAAATACAGTTCAAAGCATGAAGAGTCAATCAAGAGGAAGAAGGGCTTACCATAGCAATGACTGCTGCTCCTGCTCCAGCAAGGGCCACAATAAACAAGTGGAATGTCATGTTCAGCTGTAGAGAGATCCAAAGAAACTCGAAATAAAGAGTGGTAACAACAGAATTAGGAGCACTCAACAGAGTTGACAACTTTGCTCATCAAGAATTTCACTTAGTACTGTGACTAGACAAATGACCTAATGAGCCATCTGTATCATTTATTCTACTCTGAAGAGCTACTATCAATTCTGGATGCTTTAAATCCCTATAATTGTTTAACATTAGTCTAATAGCATTATAAAGATTAGGATAAGGGAACTAATGATAATTACAATTATCATCATAATGACTTAATGACTACAATGTCTTTTAATGGTGATTTTATAGGCTTCCTTTTACTCTTCTGTAGTCCTGGGTTTCTGCAAATTCCAAAATAAATAGGGGAGGGGTAGGTAGAGGTATTGTTTTCCATATCAGAAAAGTTGTTTTTTCTTTCATCTAAAATATCAATCTCAGCTATAAAAATATATGCTATATTTTTATGCCTTTTTAAAAAAAACTCTTTTCACTGTGTTTCAGGACATATACTTGAAAAATTGAACAAAAAAATCATGCATACCCAAGTTTGAAAAACTTTTTAACCCTCAGCAACACAGTAATAGAAGTCCAAAAGAATGAAGAGGAATCACACAACTCACCTCCTGATAAAAAGGTAATGAACTTAAAATGCAGAAAGAGACATACATTTTTGACTAATGTGGGAGACTTTTTTTGGCCATACTCAGGGAAGGGAGGATATAATTAATGCAAGGTTTTTAAAGAGCAACCAACACAATGAATGTTAAAGACCTAACAAAACCTTCAGCATATAGCCTGTCTTTTTATTTTTAATCTCTCCACACACTCACCTCAGTAGATTCACACATCCTCAGGAAATTTTCAGACATGGTACAGATCTTCTTCTCCTCTCCAACTGTCACAATCCCTACAACACATGAAAGATGTGAGAAATACAGTATGAAAATGCTAGTAGCAACAGAAGTGGGAAAGACAGCATTAGGAAATAGCCTAACCAGTGACCCTAATTTTACAGGTGCAGTTTTACTTTCGCCCGGTATGTTATTTAGGCTATCAGAGTATACATTTTCATCATAGTGGATAACAGTTTTAAATGGAAGATGCAGGATCATTGGGTCCTCAAGCAGTGTTTTCAGAAATTCACCTTGGATTTACTGAATCTAGCCATCAGAGTATTCATATATTGGAAAATAACTTGCAGCCAGTACGAGAACTTCGTTTATTAACATGATAAGGCATTTATCATAACAGTTTCTGTCCCTGTGCTGCAGAGGTCAGGATTTAGATTTGCTTGTCTGGTACAAAGCTTCTGCCAGGTGTATAGTGTGTGGCCTCGAGGGGCACTTAACCAGCATGTTGATAAGGAAAGCCGCTGCTGCCTGGAAGGGCAACAAGATGCTTGTTCTTCATTCAGCTTTGCTAGTGGCTCCTCTTTAACTCCTATCAGAAGCCTGATGAAAGGAACATTATTGAATAGGCAAAGGTAGCAGTGACTTCTTTTAACAAAGGCCACTAGTCTTAAACAGTTCTAAAAATCCACATATAAGCATCAGCAGAGAACCTTAACCTTTGGTCAAAATACTAGTGATATTAGTTATCATTCAACTCAACTCAACCAGAATTCATGAGTCTTCTACTGTGTGCCTGGAAGGCACACAAGCTAGGCTTGCACATCCTTTTAATAGTTACCATTTAATTTTTTACATGTTTAGATTCTTTTTAGAACTTTCTAGCAGCTATTCTGCCTTGATACCTGGAACCTCTCTCTTTTATCTCTACCCCTGGCTCCCTTAAATTCCTTCAAGTCTGAGTGCTACCTTCACAAGAAATCCTTTCCAGTCCTTCTTACTGCTCATACCTCTGCTAGGAGAAGATCTCCAATCTATTCTGTATATCTTGTTTGTACGTAGTTATCTCCATGTTGTCTCCCCTATTAGAGTGTGACCTTGTTGAGAAAAGAGAGTGTCTTTTGCTGGCTTTTGCTTTTCTTTGTAATCCGGGTGCTTAGCATAGTGTCTGTCTGTCACGTAAGTGTTAACCAATGCTTGTTGGTTTTACTTAAAGAGTTACCTGTATTGTTTGCCCTTTATGGAACAGCTCTGTCAGACTGGTGTGTAGCAGTATAGCTTACGTTTGGGGAATTAACACTCAATTTCCATATTGGATGGGAAAACAACAATAAACGTAAGTACCACAAATAATCCAAAACAATACAGAATGTAAAATCAACTCACCCGGTGAAGTAAATAATAAAATTGCTAATGTTACATAATTGCACAATGTTATGTTTGAGCCCAACCTTTTCCTTGCAAAGACTCTTCTTCTTAATGTCAGTGTTCTTTAAGGTAGCTAAGATAGCATAATGGATACAGCACCAGGCCTGAAGTCAAGAAGACCAGAAGTCAGATCCATCTTCAGACACGCCCTCGTTGTGTGACTGACCCTGGACAAGTCATTTAACCTCCGTCTGTCTCAGTTTCCTCAAATATAAAATGGTGATGATAATAGAACCTACTTCACAGGGCTGTTGTAGGGATCAAATGAGATTTTGTTTAAAGCACTCAGTACAAGGCTTTTAATTCTTACATTATTGAAGTAAGTCAGAAAGAAAGTAAGTAATAGTTTAGGAATTGAAATCCAGTTCTGCTTGTGACTTCAGGACTTTTCCTACTACACTATGCTGCATGTATGCACTAGAAGTTGTAGCACTGGAGACTCAGGTTTTAGACCCAACTAAGCTATGTGACATTGGGCAAGTCATTTCATCTATCTAGGCCTCAAATTCTTTGTCACTTCTCTCAATATATTTCTGTATTCCTTCAGAAAGTAAATAAAGAGATTAACAATATTTAAAATATTATAGAATATAATTTAGGGACTAAAATGTAGAAAGCAAACAAAATCTTGCTATTTATTTGTTGCAAAAAAGCTGTCTTTCTCTCCCTCTTCCTCCCTCCCTCTCTGTCTTCCTCTCCCTCTCTCTCCTTCCCTTCCCCTTTCTCACTGAATAGTTCCTTCTGGAACCCTTTTCTAGGAAGGTTATGTAGGCCAGCCATGTCTCATTTCTCTGTAGGTTGAATTCTGGATTTCAGCTCTTGCTGAATTTCCCCTTCCCCCCATACATTAATTTATGGATTGTGTTTCCCTACTAAAATGTAAGTCCCTTGAGAACAGGGACTCTTTCTATTTATAATAGTATTTCCAGTGGTCAGCACAGTGTGTGGCACATAACAAGATCTTAATAAATGATGGATCAACTGACTTTTGACTCAGGAGAATAAAACAACAGCTCTCTGCTAACCAGGAAACTCCTATATTAAGATTGTACGGTATTTCTTGATAAATGGAACCACAAAGATAAGCTACTCATTAAACTTCTAACAATTATTAAATATCACATAAAAGAGATATGTCAGTTTGCAAAAAATATTCACTACTATCATAGAGGAAACTTGATGTAAGGTGCAGATAGAGGAGAAGATCCAGATAGTTCTAGTTTGTGAATGATTTTTTTGGTCTTCTTACATCAAACCTTAGAACGTTACAGGGACCATTCAATGAGAGCCATGATTAATTGAATGAAATTACTTTTAGCAGTTCATACAGGGAAAGCCAAATGAATAAAACAATCTACTTGAAAGGTGTAAGAAGGTCACTGTGTATAATTGCGAAAGGCACAGAAGACAGATGATGACTTGGTCCCAGAATTGAATAGGAGGAAAAATAAGCTGGATTGCATTTTGGGAATTGTGTGGTACTTTTCATGATTCCAAACTGCAATTTGGTACAGATACTTTTTTTTTTATTTTTACACAGATGTTTTCCTAATGATGATGTAAGATTCAAGATTTTGGATTTTTTTAAGAATCAAAGTTGGAATCATCTTGTCTGACCCCTCATTTTATAGACAACAGAATAAAGAGCCAAAGTAGTTAAGGACTTTGCTCAGCGTAAAATATTTTAGTGGTAGGATTGGAATTAAAAGCCAGTTATTCCTTCTGTATTCACTACACTGCAGTAATTATTAAAGTATTTAAAATAAAACCATTCATCTACTTTTGGACTCCTTCAAGTACTTCAAGTGACCTGTGCTCTGAGAGTCAGCTTGGCATTTAAGGTACACTGGAAAGATTATTAACTTGAGGTCAAGAGACCTGGGTTCAAATCCTGCCTCTGCCACATACTAACTGAATGCTTATAGGTACACTTCCCAAACTTTCAGAACCTCAGTATCTTTATCTACAATATGAACACAGTAACTTTCATACCACCTTTCTCATAGGGTTGTGGTGAACACAGAACTTGGAAACCTTCAAGCGCTACATGAATGTGAGGTGTTAGGCATTTTTTCTACTGACACAGATCACAGTCATGTTTATGTCAATGATTTTATGAATTTATGCAGCTATCTGGTAAGAGGCCTTTCTGAACTCAGGTAGGCTTATTTTCTCCTGACAGACTTTCATTTGGTTTGACAGAACCATTGGCATTCCAATGACATTACCTTCAAGAACCTAACATCACTGTGGCATGATGGACCATTGGAGGTGGATTTTAGTTGGAGGAAGTAATTTTTTAGGATATTTAGGCTATTGTTGCATGTACATTTTCTACTTTTAAAGGGTGGAAGAGTGAAAAGGCAGACAGAGAATAGGAGTGAAAAAGAAGCATAGGAATGGAAAGACTTAAAACCTGTACCTCAGACTCTCAGCTCAGTAATGTGTTACCATGGGATTGGAATCTACCACTTCTCTTTTTTTGGTGTTTTTTATTGTTTGTTTTTTCTTTATTTATTTGAAAATTTTCCCCAGTTAAATATAAAATAATTTTTAACATTCGTTTTTAAAACTCTAAGTTCCACTCCCTTCCCCCTTCCCACCCTCATTAAGAAAACAAGCAGTTTGATATGAATTATACATGTGTAGTCATGCAAAATATATTCATAATAGTCAAGTTGTGAAAGAAAATATAGACAAAAACAAACTCAAGAAAAATAAAGAAAGTTTAAAAAAAGTATGCTGCAATCTATATTCAGATACCATCAATTCTTTCTCTGGGGATTTGTAGCATTTTTCATAACTCCTTCAGAGTTGTCTTAGATTGTTACATTACTGAGAATAGCTAAGTCATTCACAGGTGATCATCTCACAAAAATGCTTTTACTTTGTACATAGCACATTTCACTTTGCATCAGCACGTGCAAGTCTTTCCAGGTTTTTCTGAGAGCGTCCCACTCATCATTTCTTATAGTACAATAGTATTCCATCATAATCACATACCATAACTTTTTCAACCATTCCAAAAGGGTATGTATGCATGTTGTTATAGCCCTTTGAGCATAGTTCCAAATTGCTGTATAGAATGGTTGAATTAGTTCACAATTCTACCAATAATGCATTCATTAATGTCTCATTTTTCCCACATCCCCTCCAACATTTGTCATTTACCTTTTCTGTCCTATTAGTCAATCTAATAGGTATGAGGTAATACCTTAGGATTGTTTTAATTTGTGTTTCTCCAAACAACAGTGAGTTAGAGCATGTATTTTCATGTGGTTATAGATAGCTTTGATTACTTCACCTGAAAACTATCATATCTTTTAATCATTTATCAATTGGGGAATGGCTCTTATTTTTATAAATTTCACTCAGTTCTCTATATTTTAGAAAAATGAGACCTTTGTCAGAGAAACTTGCTTCAAATTTTTTTTTTCACAGTTACTATTGCTAACTGTATTTCTCTCCATCCTATCCCTCCCATTTATTCTATTTTCACTCTCCTTTCACCCTGCCCCTCCTCAAAAATGTTTTGCTTCTGACTACTCCCTCCCGCCATGTCCCCTCCCTTTGTCACATCCCCGCCTTTCACTTATTCCCTTCCTTTCCTACTTTCCTGTACGGTAAGATGGATTTCTATACCCAGTTGAGCATGTGCGTAATTGCCTCTTTGAGCCAATTTTGGTGAGAATAGGGTTCACTCACTCCCTTGACCTGCCTTCTTCCCCACCATTGTAAAAGCTTTTTCTTGCTTCTTTTAAGTGAAATAACTTACTCCATTCTACTTCTCCCTTTCTCTTCCTCCCAGTACATTACTCTCACCCTTAATTTATTTTTTTAGATATCATCCCTTCATATTCAACTCAAACCTGTACCCTCTTTCTATATATACTCCATCTAATTACCTAATAGTGAGAAAAGACTTATAAGTTACAAATATCATCTTCCTATATAGGAATGTAAACCTTATTAAGTTTCTTATGAATTCCCTTTCCTATTTACCTTTTTATGCTTCTCTTGAGTCTTATATTTGAAAGTCAAATTTTCTATTCAGCTGTGGTCTTTTCATCAATAATGCTTGAAAGTCCTCTACCTCATGGAATATCCATTTTTTCCCCTGAAGGATTATTCTCAGTTTTTCTAGGTAGGTGATTCTTGGTTGTAATCCTAGTTCCTTTGTCCTCTGGATTGTTGTCTTCTTCTGAGTGTGTGTTTTGATCTTCCTTGGCACCATAGTAACATTCCATAGTCAGAGTTGGTTTTGTTCCCCATTGTTTGCTCATTTTCTCAGCCTATTACTAGACTTTTAACTTTTTGTTAAAGTAGGCTTCCATGGGGAAGGGCATACTGTCCCATGCTTCAGGGTTTTATGCATCTGTTTTGAGAAATACTTCTGGGACCTATAATTTTTCAGTTCTTCCAAGATGGTATCATCTAACAAGGATTGTTTACTACTCTCCTGGTCTGTACTCTGGTCTCACTCTTTTCTGCCCTAGGACAGTGAGGACAGTCCCCACTCCACTGCTGCTGAAAGCTCCACTATGTTAGCACTCCTCCTTGCCCTGGGACTGTCACTCAGGTCTGTAACCCGGATCCAAGTATGGGAAAGCAACAGATTCCTGCCTCAGTGCTAGCAAAAAGACCCCTGTAATCACCTTCTGATCAGTTGTTTAAACCCTACTGTCTATGAGCAGAAAGCTCCAGAAGCAGCTGCTGCTGCTGTCACTGCCGATTCAGTCACTCCTAAGGCCTGCTCCTGGTTTCCTGGGGCTAGGGCTGTGCTAGCACAACATGTGCTAGACTGCACTCCCCTCTCATGCAGATGAGACAGACCTACTGACCTTCTAAATTATTTTTGGCATCTGTGGGCTGAGAGTTCTGGAAACCGCCACTGCTACCAATGATTCAGTTGCCCCAAGGCCTGCTCTGGGTTTGTTGGGGCCCTCTGCACCAGCACAGCCAGTGGTCCTCTGTCACCCTGGTGCAACAGACCTTTCATGCCGACCTTCCAAGTTGTCTGGGCCGGGAATTTGTTTCAACCCATCTTTTTGTAGGTGCTGTTGCTCTAGAATTTGTTTAGAATCATTTTTAATGGTATGTGGATGGTTTTGGGGGAGAGGTCAGCCTCTACTCCACCATCTTGGCTCCACCCCTATTGCTTCTTTTAAGGCTCAGCTCAGGTGCCACCACCTACAAGAACTAATCTCCCTAGTTGGTAACACTCTCTTACTCCTCATATTTTATTGTGGCATTCCATCCAACCCCAAATATAAGCTCTTTGAGGTCAAAGAATTTTTTTGTATTTGTATTCCCAGCAGCTAGCACAGCGCCCCACACCTAGTAAGTATCTGGCAAATTCTTGGTGAATGTATGGAAATTGACCCAAGTTTTGTGATATAAGGCCCAAACTACTTCTAGCCAATTTTTTGGGGGAGCCAATTGGGGTTAAGTGACTTGCCCAGGGTCATATAGCTAGTAAATGTCAAGTGTTTGTTCTGAGGCCAGATTTGAACTCGGGTCCTCCTGACTTCAGGGCCGGTACTCTATCCACTACAACACCTAGCTGCCCCTAACTTCTAGCCAATCTTGAGTTCAGTTCTTCCGTTAGTTTTTTTTAAATTCCTCCAATATTTATTAGTTGCCTACTGTGTGTGGAATCAGCACCAATACTCCAAAGGGGGGAAAAAAAAAGATGGCCCATCCAACCTATGTAGACTGAGGAAACCATCACTGTGTCACTCATTTTCATCTTTTAGCTTATTAACATTTTAAGAAAAAGAAAATACAATTTTTTAATGTCTGTCACACTGGCAATACTGTTAAGAGTTGCTATAATACAAGATCAAAATGTGGGGATTTCCATACTTTGTGAACTCTGGAGTAGAGCTTGTTATTTTGATCAACCTGGTCAGAAACAAAGCAGTTTTAGTAAACAGTGTTGCCTGGGTAATGCTTCATAAAAGCACATGAATGCAATTCATCCTTTAACAGAAGCCATGTTCTGCTTAGAGATACAAGGAAACTCAGTGGATTATGTGTCAAGGGAAACATTTAAAATTTACATATAATTACAACAGACTGTAAAGACATAGACTTGTTTATTGTTAATCCTTGGCTCATTTTTTGTAGCTTTTTTAAAAATACTTTTTTAAATAGAAAAATTCTGGAAGTCTTAAGTATGACTTAGCATCAAATCTAGCTTCAGATTGAAGGAGAAATAGAACAATTCTATACTTCTAGAGTAAAACAGTAAATTTAGGTCAATTCAATGATTGGGAAATTGCATCATCTAATAAGTTTCTTGATTTCTCCATGTAACACATGTTTAGGAGACTTCCTAAGTTATTCCCTGTTGTGTACCATTTTTTATAGAGGATTGTCTCTAAAGGAGAGAGGCTCCTACAGAAGGTGCCAATTAATTGCTCTTTTTGAGCATCTAGTCATAAGGGGTAATGCAGATGCTTGGCTAACTCTTCCAAATGGGCACTGTATTTACAGCCAATGTTGACCATTATTTTTGACCTTAGTAATAATACGATGACCAAGTGCTGAAAGGTGCTGTTCTCTAATAAGCAGGAAGAGAACCATGTTCACAACCACACCTTGAAGTCTCTATAGGTAATTTGAGTATTTTGAACCATATTGTCTTTTGGACACAGAATTATTTAGTAAATGTTACAGAAGTGAACTCAGGTGAACATTTTCATGCTAAAATGATCAGCACAAGTAGCCTCAACAATTTAACCAAGTTCACTGTTTGGGTAGAGCTAATTAGAAAGTATATTACCTGTTATTAAACTCCAAGTAAATGGGTATTATATTTCAACTTCTATTGCACCACTCAAGTACTACAGCTTAGTGCTTGTAATACCATTACGCTTTACTTAAACTAGGCTATTCAATTTTTACTTTTTCATGTATACTGGAGTTTTTCCACGTGGCAATACAATGCACACTGTCAAGTTACTCATTTACCATGATAATAAAAAATCATTTGCATTTTTAAAACACAGAAATAATTTTTGGCTAATTTTGTGGCTGTGGTTACTAATTCCTTTATAGGTCAGGCAAAATTCAAGTTAGTCATTATAGAAAATTTTCACAAATTAAGATGATTCCTAAATAATATTTTTCCAACTTGTGATTAGAAGCCATTATCAAGACTGAAAAATCTTAGTCTAGTAAATATTTTGTAAGAGAGGTTATCTCTGAAGGTTATTACCTTCCAATAGAATTGAAATGCATTTCATCTTAGGTCTAAAGCATATAATCTGTAAAAACATCCCAAAGAATGTGTGTATTATATAGATAGATAAATTCTATAAGGTTGACATGAAGTTCTGTCACTAAAAGAAGATTTATTATCTGAACCTTCTTTGGCATTTGTGTCACCTTCCCATCAGGCACTAGGGTGTCTGGCCTCAAGAAGATATGGGTCCAGTTCCTTCAGATATTATTTAGTTTCTTATTGCCACACAAGAACACTCACTTGAACTGGTTTGAAATAGGTAGCACATCTTGGATCCTTGGCTATAGGTAAGAAATCTTCTTCTGCTGCTGCTTCACATTTCTGTGGTCCACTGCCTTGCATACTGTTCTGCTCATATTGAGGAGACAGAGATGACTGTTGACCTGAGGGGGCTTCAGGACTATTTGTAACACCATTAACATCTGCAGTGAATATTTCAAATTTGACATCTTCTAGACCTGAAATTGATAGCTTTGCATCCAAAATATTGAGAGTTGTTTCAGTATGTTGGATCCAAAGAGAAAGATCTAACAGCTTCTCTTCACAAACTGTAGAAAGCAAGTTGAGGAACTACACTGTATGTACCACAAACTGGTTTAGAAATGCAACAGCCCTTTTCTGTTGAATTGCTCGTACCTTAGTCAGGCTATGCCTGACCCCATCCGAGGCAGCCTCTCCTCGTCCATTGCTCCAGAGAGTGGACCCATACCCTCTGCTTTCCCAGTCTGGACCCTGGGAATGGCTCCTGACTGGCCCTCTCAACCTTGCTCCACTACTTTTAAAGTGGATGTGACAAAATGTCAATGGCACACTTAATGAATTTATCTGAGCAGCAGCAAAGTACTAATACTTCATGAGTGCTATTCTTTAATGACTACATAGAACATTTTCTGGCAATAGTTTTGACCGTTGCCAGTCAATAGGAATCTACCATTTTACTTACCAAACTGACGAAGGTCCAAGCAAAGATTTGTTCCTTCCATTAACGTGGTGTTTCGGCAGATGGTCCACATGTTGAAGTACATGTAAACAGGCAGAGAGGTAAAAGCTGTGACTCCAAGCCAGGCCAACATGAAAACATATGTCAGCATAATGAACTGCAACACAAGATACACAAAGGAAGCATGAATCCTAGAGCACAGCTCACTTATGAGAGCCAACTCCAAATGTTCCAGCTCTGTTATTCTAAAGAACACATTTTCTCCAACATGGACTATTTGAACCAAGCATAAGATGCTGCCAGAAGGCAGATGTAATAGAGGTCACAGGTATAAACCTCTGGAACATTTGTGCTGTCATGGATTCTGATATTTGGGGAATGAGTAAACCCTCCCTGGTGCCTCATTTTAACTATGCCCCATTAACTTCTTATTTTGATAAATGCTACCATCCATTTTCTATCATTTAGATTATGTTCACTCGATATTAGATATTATATTCAAGGTCCTGAAAACACAGAGTAAAGGCATAAAGAAAAAACTCAATAAATAAAAATTTTTGTCATTAAATTATGAGAAAAGTGAGCTGATTTATTATATAACTAACATTTTACAGTGTTTTAAAGTGGGCAAAGTACTTTAATGCCTTATTTCATTTGCCCTCAAGAAAATCCTGTGAAATACACACTGTTGAGATGATTGTCCCCATCATGTATAGAAAATCTCATCTGAAGAATAAAATACTCAATCCTTAAGACTTAAATGGAATGTATATTCCTAAACCCATAATGGGTCACAAGAAATTTTTTACGAGTACCCATGCACTGAATGGAACCTATTTGCAAGTTTGGAATGGGACTGACAGAAATCAGTCAATAAACAGTTATTAATAATGCCTTCTGTGTTTCAGGCACTGAGGTATAAAGTATATGTGTGTATACATATATGTATGTACACACAAAAATATATTTATCTGTATGTGTGTATATGTACTGCTATAATACATGGATTTGTGTATATTTACCCACATGCGTTTGTGTGTGCACATTTATATGTATATCTATAAATCTATATCTATCTACATATCTATACATATGGACTATCTCCAACTATCTGTCTATCTATGCCAGTGATTTGCGTGTAGGGAACTTGCCGAAAGATAATGTGACAATGTCCAATACCTCATTTTACAGATGAGGAAAATGAATTGCAGACAAATTAAGAGACTTGCCTAAAGTCACACATTTAAACCTAGAGCTTCTGGTTACTTATCAGAGCAGCTAGGTGGTGCAGTGCAGAGGGTTCTGGCATGGAGTCTGGAACACTTATCTTCCCAAGTTCAAATCTAGCATCAGATACTTATTAACTGTGTGACCGTTAACCCTGTTTGCCTCAGTTCCTCATCTGTAAAATGAGCTGGAGAAGGACATGGCAAATCACTCTAGTATCTTTGCCAAGAAAACCCTAAATGGGGCCATGAAGGGTCAGACATGACTGAAACAACTGAACAACAACTTCTGATTCAAAATCCAGCACTATTTCTGATCTACGAATAAGTTCCACGGAAATACATATATGGTTCAAAAGTATGTTTTGTGTTTCTTCCTACATCTAGTTTTTAGGGAACCTGATGTTTTTCCCCCTGCAGACAGCAAAACCAGCATTTGAAATGAGACCTAAGAAATTTGGATATACATGAGTGATTTTCATAAAATTTGGATCATCCACTTCTCTCAGCAGGTGATATTGGTTGCCTGGTGAGTTATTCATCATAACATGAGTCTAGAGATTACAAGTATTTTTCCATTAAAAATCCATCTTTTGGGTGTTAAGACTTATACAAATGAATTTTTAAATCGTAATTGTTAATTTGAAATTACAAGAAATCATGACCCTTCAAGTATAACCTTGTACATCAAAACTGGGAATGGCTCTTAGTGAGAAGACACTTTTCTACTCCTAGATAGAAAAAAAATTAGAAGTCATTGGGGAGCTATTCTGCAAATGGATTTTAACCATATGGGGAAGAATATTTCCTTAGTCTGTTTTTAGTGGCTTCAAAAATGCTGCCTTTCAATCATAAGTAGTTTAAAGATGGCACTGCAGAATAGTTATGAAGAAAATGGCAGTGAAAGTGGTAAAAGATAGAATACTAATGATAAAATGAAACAGTTGTTTGAACTGAAAGGAATTTACAAAATCTTATCACAGTTAAAATGGTCATCTTTTGTAATTACTTTTCAGAATATGCCTGTATCTTTTTTTCCTTGCTAGGCTTTTGGGAATGTTCTCTCTAATCTAGAGATGGCCTGTGACTAGAAGGGATCTCAGGTATTCTCTGACCCAAACATCCTTGTCTTGTAGATGAGAAAACTGAAAAGGAGGTGAGGGGAGAACTTAAGGTAGTTTTATTATCATGACAACAGATTGTCAAATTGTTAATATTGTGTGTGTTTATTTATAAAAGCCAGGATCTAAAAAAAACCCCAAACTATTTTTCTATTAATGATACAACTTTTAAACTACCAACAATGACTTCATATTTAAAAAGTGTAAAATAATATGCCAGAGTTTTCACAGCACCTTGCTTTAAGATACTATATTTTGTTATTTACTAGGTCATTATGATAAGTAATAAGGTTTTCTAATCTGCTGCTTCATTGTAACATGCTACCTTTGTTATAAGTTCAATTTTTAAGCTTATAATTTTTGAAGAAGCTATAAAATTTTGCATAACGTAAGTATAATTTAGGGTGAATTGGATTCCAGATCTTAAATGGATTTGTTTTCTCCTACATTTAGAATCTAGGATTGTAGACTTTTAAGGCTAGCAGTGACTGTATTTCAAACCCCTAATTTCACAAATGAGTAAATTGAAAACTGTTTTTTCTGATCAAGGTAATGTGATTTGTCAAAGATCATACAGGGAACTGCTACGAGGCCCTCAACTAAAATTGAAGCGTTCTGTCACTATAGTCAATTTCTCTTATATATGTATATATGTGTACACTGGTATATAGTGCATAGAATTATATGTCCTTACGACTACAGAAGCTGATGTTTTTGTATAGTCATGTCGGGTACGCCTGTATATGAATAAACAGTGTGATGGAAAGTGCAGGTGTCTATGGGTTATGCTGGGGTTAAGCAAAGCAGAGAAGTGCTCCCATTCTTTAGATGTATAGAGTATAGATGTCCTTCATTGAACTTCCAATGAGCTAGAGCCTCTGTTCTCCCTCATACTGATTATTCTTCATTCTTATTCTTAGTTCTTGCTGAGTTTAGGAAATAGGTGGGGTAGAGATAAGAAAAATCAGAATGGATTTACAGGAGTAAATGGAAGAGAATGATCCCAGTTCTCACTTTAAGTCCTTATATGCACATCAACACAGTCTATTATATGTATACTTTCCCTTGTACAATTGCTATTATGAAGCTAATGTCTTTGCATAGGCCTTCCACATACTAAAATACCCAAATTCTAATGGCTTAGAAGTCCATTTCTCTTAACCAAAGTATGAGAGATGCAGATATAATTGCTAATCAATGAGCTTCTGATGTATATCTTATAGCAATATGAATAGGCTTCAAAATGTGAAACATTTTTTAAAAATGTGAAACATTTTCCCCAGAATATGTATAATCTTTCCATAAATAGCTGGCAATTTCTAAGCGATTTTGTGGTATACCTTAATGTAGTTGAACAAACCATATGCCTATATTTCTGAAGCCTACAAAATAGTATGAAAAATATGCCAGGTTAAGTTGCCAATACTATCAATAATATGGTTTCCTATATTTTTAGAAATAGCACTTATAAAATCTCTCTGATTCACATTAACTTTTTTTTTATCATTTTTCATAGTTGTAAAAATCCTTAGAGAGTATATTGTATTTGCCAAAAATAATCTGTTTTTGAGAAATATCTCTCTTTTAATATTTTCATTATTTTTACCTCTCAATAACTATATACTGATATGCTTAAGAGATTTAACTTTAATGACAGCATTTAAACTGTTTTCTTGGCTCTAACACCTAATGAGAGGAATACTACACATGGTCTGACATATACCTCAGACTTTAGAATTGTAATTATTAGAGTCCAGACAGAAAGCCTAGGTTAGCTCAGCAGTGATGTGGAAGATGCATAAGAATGAAGTTTTAGTTCCAGAGCCACTATTGATTCTAAAGAATAAGAAAAGGGATGGTGTATTAACTGATGTGGCTTACTATTGAGCTCACTGGCCACTCCTTGCTCAGTTTCTTTATTTGTAAAAAGGGGATAATGATAATAATAGTACCTACTTGCAATGGTTATTGAGAATAAATTGAGTTAATATGTATAAATCACTTTGTAATCCTTAATTTTCCAATGTAAATTTTAGGATTTTTATTTTGGCCATAGTTTTCAAGGAGTCTGATGCTTAAGTTATATCTCCTTGACCTATTTCCTCCGTCAGTTCTTTTATTAAATGATCTTTTGATTTTTATATAATATGTGTTTTTTGTTGTTCAGTCATTCAGTCATGTCTGACTCCTCCTGACAGCATTTGCAGTTTTCTTGGCAAAGGTACTACAGTGGTTTGCCATTTTCTTTTCTAGTTGGTTTTGCAGATAAGGAAAGTGAAGCAAATAGGGTTAAGTCACACAGCTAGTAAGTATCTGAAGTCACATTTGAACTCAGGGAGTTGAGTCTTCCTGACTTCAGGCCAATTGCTTGATCTACTGTGCCAACCTATCTGTCCCTGTTACAGTATTTACTGTTGTCTAATGTATCCATTAAATTCTCTTGCTCTATTCTACTTTTCAGGGAGTACTTGGATAAGTACTTACTTGGATATGGTTTTACAAACCTTTTGTCCTTCTAATTCCATCCTCCAGTGCTTTTATTTAACTAATAATTTCATTTTTATCCCTTACGTTTTTTTTCCCCTCAGGTATTCTTGTATTCTTGGTTGCCAAGTAACTTTCCCCTTTAAGGCTCAGCCATGGCTGTTGAGTTACTCTCTCCTTCTAGGTTTATCTCTTGGGTGTCTTAACTCATAATTTTTCTTGTTTCATAAAATACTTCTTCTTAGTGGTAAAAGAAACATATAGATACTCTAGAAATATTAGGCAACAATGGACTATTTTAAGTATGTGTTCTACCTGATTACAGA